CTACAGCAAACTCAATCAAAATTTAATACTTATAGATAAGTTCTCAATTTACTTACCGTTTATATATTGGGATTATCATGAAATCTATTGTTCAAAGCTCTTTTATCACAATGCAAAAAGAAGTTAAAACTCTTCTAGAACAAGTTTCTAGTAAAATTTCTATTATATTAGATATTTGAACTTCTTGAGCTAATTTACCTTTTCTTTGTATTACGGCACATTGGATAGATAATGACTGGAAACTTAAAACAATTTTACTTGATATTTGCATGCTACCACATCCCTATACTGGTGAAGAGATTAATACACAATTATATTCTACTTTAGAGACTTTTAATATTACTAATAAAATTCTCTGTGCTACTACTGATGGCGGTTCTAATATAGTTTTGGCAATGCAATTATTAAAAGAAAATTTTGTTTTACAAAATTTTCAATTTAATTTTCAACCTCATCGTTGTTTGGCTCATATACTGAATCTTATTGTTACAACTGGCTTATCGCCTATTAAGTCATCAATTGAAAAAGTGCGCAACTTGGTCAAAACTATCATATTATCATCATCATTAACACAAGATTTCAAAGAACTTGGACAATCAGTTGGTCAAGGCGAGACAACTTATAAAATTCTACAAGACATTTCAACAAGATGAAATAGTATGTATTTGATGCTTTCAGTCTATATAACTATGCCGATGACAATCGATGCTATTATTAGACGTAATAAAAATCTTATTAAATACAAACTTACACCACAAGAAGAAGCTGATCTTCAAGCTATAATGCAATTTCTTCGACCATTTTATGAAACTACCAACGTTCTTTCTGGCAGCACATATACAACTTTAGGTATCTCGATTCTACTAATCGATGATATTGTTGATACTGTCTCGTCTTGTATTCAGGATCCAACAAGTCCAAAATTCCTAAAATCAGCTGCAACCCATATGTCAGATAAAATTCAAAAATATACTAACGAAATATATGATAAAACAGCCTTTATATAGCTGCTATTCTTGACCCCAGAATTAAATTAGAACTAATACCCGCTGATATGAATACTGAAATAAATCAAGCTCTTTTTAATAACATTTTTAAGGCAGAATATTCTACACTTACTTTAAATAATTCGCCTAATAATTCAGAAGCGGCAGTAAATTTAACATATACAGAGCAAATTGCTCAGAAAAAACGTAAAACAAATATCCTTACTAATAGAACTGATGAATTTTCTCAATACTTAAGTGAGGCTATTTTACCTATGGATGTTGATCCTTTGAACTGGTGGAAACTTAATTATGCCCGTTTTCCTAATTTATCTCGGATGGCTAAAGATTATCTAGCTATTCAGTCTACTTCGGTGCAAGTATTTTCCAAGGCAGGTGATACAGTTAGAGCTAAGCGCGCACGTTTATCTGAGAAAAATGTACAGGCTCTTTTGTGTATTAATTCCTGGTTAAAACACGGTATTAAGTTTTATGAAAAATAGCTATAAATTACTTGAGTGATATATCTTGTAGTTACTGTAATCAAAAAATAGCGCAAATTGTGGCTTTATTACAGTATTAGTAATATAAATAAGAACTTTTTTTTAAGCTTATATTAATATATATTTTATGTACGTACGATTTTTCAAATTTTTAGGCCTTTTTTTGTAGGCTTTTTTTTTATAGTTAAAAGAGTATAGGTGGATTTTTTGGTAGGGCTTATATTTTCAAATTGAGACCCTCAAATTTCGCGATAATCCGATTTCACGATAATCCCAATATATAAACGGTAAGTAAATTGAGAACTTATCTATAAGTATTAAATTTTGATTGAGTTTGCTGTAG